GCGGAAGTGGCTTAAGCTTCTTAGTGCTGTGCTTTAACCCGCTGCGCCACCAGGGAGGGCCCGATAGCTCCACTTCTTAAAAGGTGAGAAGTTATTTTACAAGAAAGAAATTCATTTAGTGCAGAAATGGTCTATAGCATTTAAATTAATTAAATCAAACATATTTGAGAAAGTAACCCAAATAAGGAAAGCAAGTACATTTTGAAATTATTTGGTAGTTCAAATATCACAGGTACAAGTTTTCTCATTAGTATCCACAGGGGTGATCTATAATAAAGGGAAAATGCCAGCTCGGCAGTGTATTCTTGCAGGTTACCCTATGTATCTTTTAAAAATCTGCCATGTTATTTTTAGAAGGTATTCAAGTTATGTAGTAAATTCAGTACAGTATTGTAAATAGTTTTTTTTTTCTTTAGCTTAAATACTGTTATATTTAGTGCTTATTTAAGGTAAAAGAAGGGTAAAGTTACCATACCGTTAGACATTGCTTCAGTAAGACCTTTACTAAATTTATTTTGTTTTATTTTGAAAAACATGTCACAAATATGTTGGATCTAAGGGATTTAAAATTTTTTTTAGGATTCATTTTCCCAAGCCCTGTTTCTTTATCTGGAATATATGGTAATTATTAGTAAGTTATAGGGTTTTGGGAAAGAGAAAATGACTTAAGCCATGTAAAATACTCAGCAGAATACTTGATAACTGCTCATTTTTTAAGGGGACCATAGTATGTTATTTAGGAAATAAGAATTTGTAAAAAGGAAGAATAGTAATAGGAAGATAAAATCCCTTAATCATTGTTTAATTTTGCTAGAGTTCACATTGTTGGGGTTTAATGTGTAACCCAAAGCTAAAGCTTTCAATGGCAGGTTGTGGTAAGATTTTTTTATATATATAAATATTTTTTTTACATTTTTCCTCATTTTGTACATTGTTTCATCTCAGTTGTAAACCCGGTGGACTTCCCACCACTACTTCACCCATGTGTTCGTCCCATCCCAGTTTAGATCTTGTTTCCCCTCTTTTCCCCCATAGAATGTCTCTGGTATATAGTTGTTGATGTTCTTCTATACTTTATAACAAATTACTGCACATATATTATTTATTTATTTATCCATTCATTTATTTATGCATATGTTCATTCATTCATTCATTCATTCATTCATTCATTTTCCTCCCGATCTCTACTCTCCTGTTATGAGTGAAACCATCTGGTATTTTTCTTTCTGTCTTATTTCACTAAGCATAATCTTTTCCAGTCCCATCCATGTTGCCGCAAATGGCATGATTTTGTTTTTAATTACTGAGTAACATTGCGTTGTGCATATATTCCACATCTTCTTGATCCATTCATCTATTTTGGGGCATTTGGGTTGATTAGATTGTAGTAAGATTTTATACAAAAAGAATCATCAGAAAAATATTTGTTGCCTAGACTGAATTATTCTAAAACGTTTATTTTACAATCAACTACATTTTTAAATGGAATATATTATATACTGTAATAATTATTTTGGGTGTTTGCTGAAGTAATTAAAAATGACTTTTAAAATTTGAATGTTCCCATTTGGTGATGGGAAGCCCAAGGGGATTACAACTGTGGTGGAAAAAGGCACAAAATGATGAAAAAATAAACTATTATTTTTAAAAAATTTGAGTGTTCTCTTTGCTTTTAAAGTGCAGTTAGGTTATAGATAATAAATTGTACGTGAACTTATCTTTAAACATCCTACTCTTTGTTTATTTTTAGTTATTGGAGGCAAGAGAATTTTTGTTTTCTTTGTGAAAATAATTATAGATTCAGTTCTCTTGATGCTCTAAATTTAGGAAGGCAACATGCTTGCCAGTGATTTGGCAGCTCGTGGTTATTAGCTTTACATGGGGTGTACTGTAAAGGTTCAGCATGTTCCTTCAGTTTTATGGGCATCTGAATTCAACTTTGTGGGATGATATAAGCCATGTTCATATCAGTACTATGTTCTAGCATATAACGCTTTCTCCTAACTTAATCTCATGGGAGGATTAAGCTCATTAATTTTTTTTAAATGGTTGTGACTATTTTTAAAAGACAACATCAAAAGTTATTTTGCCTTTAATGATTTTCATAATTAGTAAAGGTGCTCAAATTGGTCTTGTACTTGAAAAGAATTGTGCTTAGTATCTGTCTGTTTTCTAATTGCAAGAGGAATTTAACACATCCTATTTTGTTTATTTTCAGAAGGGTAAAATTTTCATACAATCTAAGCTTATCAATTTTCCCCCAATTTTCAGATTTTGGATGATGAAATTCAATCAGACTTTTACATAGCTGTTCCTGAAATAATGCCTGAGCTTAACCCATTAAGGAAGAAACTGAAAAAAAGGTTTCCAAAGCTTACTCGAAGTAAGGGAGAATTCTTTTTATTATTTCAATATGCCAATAACAGCTCTCTGCTCAATTTTGTTTAATTAGAAAACAAAATTGTGAATATATATGTAGAATAGACGTGCCTTGGTATTTGAGTTTTGTGTTATATAAGCATATGTGGATTTGACCTTTTTTTTGGCTTGGTATTAATATCAGTAAACTAGTATTATTTGAAAACTTACTTTGTAAGACCATTACTTTATATTTAGTCCTTATTTTACCTCTGAATTAATAGAGTATATTATCCATTAGGTATATTATCATCGTACTATTTTGTATCTCTATGAATGTAAGATGTATCTCAGTTATGACAGCATCCAGCATATATATATTCATATATATGTATATATGTGTGTGTGTGTGTATATATATTTATAAGTATATATATATATATATAAATGCTTACTATGTGCATAGCTCTGAAGATAATTCCTTGAAGGAACTTTCCCTTTATAAAATATGGTAAGAGAGGTATAAGTTGCTACTCATATAGCTATGTTATAAAGCTTGAAGCATTGTACAATAAATTCACAAGATGCTGTAGGTGTTACTAGAGAAGAAATTTACATATAGATAGGGAAATCAGAGGAGGTATGGTAGAAGAGGAAAACAGTTATTTAAAAATTTTTTTTAAAGATTTATTTATGCATATAGAACTGGGGTACAGGCCAGAGGTGCAGGGGTGGTGGGAGGATTCACCAGAGACAGAGTAGGGAGCAGAACAGGCACATCTACTGCAATACACTGCTGAGGTGAGCAGTGGGTGGCTCAGGTGAGGTCTATCATGCCATGTAGGTCACCCCCCTCCTCACCCCTAGCTGGGGATTGAATTTGTACTGCACTGGCTGTGGCTAGCTTCATAGTGCTGCACTTAATCCATTACACCACCAGGGAGGGCCCAGCAGAAGACAACATATAAACTGTGTCTTGAAAAATTGGATGGGTGAATTAAGGGGATTATTATTTTAAATAGAAAGAATTTATTAATCATGGACACCGAAGTATGTAAGAAATTATTGGATTGGTATAAGCAAAACCAATTAGTTTTCTTTGATTGTAGTACATGGTACTACAACATTGCTATAAAAAAGAATAATCAGAAAAGATATTTGAAAGGTAGACTGAAGACATACCGAAAAGGTCTTGAATAAGATAGTGTATACTTGCTTTTTTATTCCATATTCTGAGGAAATCTCTTAGAAGTTTTTAAAGTGGTGGGCCTCCTTGGTGTTACACAGGTTATTTTCTCAGCACTATCAAGCTATCCCCAGCCAACGCTGGCCAGAGCAGCATATCAATCCCTGATCCCCAGCCAGGGAGCAAATCCTCATGGTACAGTAGATCTTTCCTGTCTTGCCAGCTGCTCCCCTCAGCAGTGTATTTCTATAGAACTGCCTGTTATGCTCCCCACTCTTCTCTGGTAAATCTTTCATTGCCCCCCATTACTCCACACCTCTGACCTATACCCTAGTTCTTTATATGCACAAGTAAATAAATAAATCTTTTTTAAAAAAAGTTTTAGAGTGGGGAGTTATTTAGGACTGTTCTCTGTATTCTAACAAGAGTTTGTAAGCTGTGTTGACATGAATCAAAACTGGAGGCAGGGTGCTCATTTAAGATATAATTGTGAGAGACTTTAATGAAGATTAAAGTCTTCATAATGAGTCTGAAGTGAGGAGTATTATCTTATCAGTATTAAGACTTTGCACCAAGTATTAAGAATGGACAGGCTGACAACAAAAAAAGGGGAAGAATCAGATTTTTTAAAAATCAGCTGAGATTTTTTAAGTATAGAGATTTCATTAATGAAAACAGGCAGTAGATTTTGGAGGAAAAATAAGTTCTTATAGATGTTGTTTTAGGTGGTGCTGGATGTCTGCTTAGATAGCTGTCAGTCTAAATACAATTTTATAGTGTAAATAGATGTTTGAAAACTGTTTTAGAATTGTCTTCAAATGTCAACTATAGTCGAGCTAAACCGTCTTTCTGAATTCTTCATACATGGTAGCCATTATCACTTATCTTAACTTCAGATCATGTTCTATACTTTAAACAAATTCAAGTCAACTCTAAATTATTTTATTATACTAAAGTTTGTTTGTTTATTGTTGATATCCTGCACTGAATAGCACTTTCTTATTGAACTGAGGTTTGGCACTTTCTGTAAAGGATTTCCATAACACTTGTGTTTGTTGTCATAGAATCAGACTTATGTTCTTATTTTAAAAATTAAAATAGTGAATTACAGTTAAATTTGACAAAAATATTTCTCATAATTTTTTGTTTCTAATTAAATTCAAGCTCACCAAAACCAAGTACTACTACTAGTAATGTTAAATATATATAGTTGAAACTAAATATTGAATACATTTGCATTCATGTAGCTCCTTGCTTTGCACAGTGAACTGTTTTTTCATAGAAATTTATTTTGTCTCCTTTTTTACTTTAGCCACTCTTTGAATAACCCTTTGGACCTCTATTTTCTTTAAGCTTGAGTTTTTCTATTAACAGTTTCATTGCAAAATTTGGGACTGTTGTTTTTGGTTTGTAAAGTTTTCAAATAACTTTCAAATAAAAGCAATTTGCCTTTAAAATGTTTATTTTACTAATGTGTTTTACTTTATTTCTTCTTTCATAATGAACCATAGCTTCTTTATGGCATGGTAAAGTTATCTAGATAAGGTACCCTGCTCCTGAATTTGCTTAACAAAACATCTTGAAAGAACAGATCTTTCTCCTTCTCTAAACAGTTTCTTTTCACCCTCACATGATCTGTTCAACAGCACTGGCAAAACATTTGTGTTCTTTAAATATGAAGACAAAAACTGTACCTGTCAAAATGTTAAAACAGAATATACCTGATGTTTATTAAAGCAAATGAAGCTTATGTTAGGCATTTTCAGATGTTATTCATGTTCTTGTTTTGGAACATTTGAGTCTCTTCACATCCCACAAAAGACTTTAATGATAAAATAGAAATTACATTTTGAGCAGCTGGATGAGATTAAAAACAAACCAGCCCCTGCCATTGAGCCCACTAGTTGTATTTGTTTTACTAATGCAAGTTGGTGTGAGCATCTTGGTATGTTAAATGTGCACATTTTTGAGCATGTTTAATGCTGCAGTTTTGTTTTAATTGCTGATCTAACCCTGGGCATTTGATAGTTCTCTATCAGATGCACATTTAGCTTATTTTCTTAATTTATTTTTATTTTACTAAAGATGTTTAACTTGCTTTGTAAAAAGTTTGAAAAAATTTGTACATCATTTTGCTTCTCAACTAGTTTCTTTTCTTCCCCAGTATAAATGCCCTTTGAAATTCTTTCAGCTCTAATGCAGATGTGAATTTTAAATTCCTACTCTTAATCAGTTTTTTTACTAAACAAACTAAACAAAAAAAAAGTTTGCTAAATGAAAAAATACTAATAAGAAAAATATATTGACTCAGTAGAATCAGTTTTCTAATATGCTTGTTGTCATGGTAGGTACTATGGCATATATGGAAACAGGTGATTTCTTTTTAATCCATGCTAACCTTTGGCAGGTAAGTGAGAAATGGCCATGATTAGAAACTTGCACCCACTAATTTGTATTCCTCTTAACACACTGCTGTTAGACTTGAACATAGTGGTCTAAATATAGTCTTGCCAAAACGATTTTTCAGCAGTTGTCTTCAGAGTACTCCCATTTACAGAGAAGTGCACTGTATTCTGTTTGAGAGTATGGATGTAAAACTATTGAAATCTAATGAGAAATATTTTTGACTCATTGATTAGAATGCTTTATCATTATAATGCAAATAATACTATTATGGACTATTGTTTTTAGTCTGCTAAAATACAGGGAATTTTTGCAGGGTAATGAATTTGAAATTTTTGTCTCGTGTATTAGTTTAAAGACTGAGCGTGAAAGACTTTTTAAAAAGGGTGATTATGTATGATTATAATTATTCTAGAGGAATCATTGATACATTACAACTGGTTTTATTACTCTTTGTCATTTCCTTTAATCTTGGTCGTCTCTTTGCCTTTCTTCACACACTAAGTGTTCTTCCTTTTCAGATCTTTCGACCTTTGTCCCAAATTTCTATAATGCTCTTTGCTTATTGCCTGACTCACTTTCACATTCAGATGTTACCTTTGCAGAGAGGCCTTTCATGACCATACTACGTAAAATATACCCCTTATAATTTTCACTGAATTTCTTACTATTCTGTTTTTATATTCATTCTGTGACTTATCACCCTTGGCATCTTCCAGGTTTTATTTGTGGGTGTGTGTTTGGTTCCTCCCATTAGAATAAGGTCATGTTTTTGTTTTGTCCATACTATATTCACACAGCCTAGGATAGCATCTGGCACACAGTAACTACTCAACAGATATTTGTATAATGAATGCAAACTGTATGCAGCATTCAACTGATAGAAGATACAGCATTAAGTTCTTAACTGAAGAGTGAATTATCTACAACTTGTAGATTTTTTGGGAATTAGAATACTTCTATTTATAGTTATTGAGTATCTGCTATGTGCCAAGCCTTGTATGTGATGACTCTGAACAAGACAGACAAGGTCCTTGACCTGTTGGCACTAGCAGTTTTGTTTTCTGAAGTAGACAAACTGGTTTAACCGAGTATTTAATCATGCTTAGATTTCTAGCTAAGTAAGTGAACAAACTGGGGGAAAAAAGAAAAGAAAACCCTTCCCCAAGCCTTCATTTTACTCAGCTATCCTATCATCTTAATGTTTTCTGTTATTTCACACCAGATTTTTCAAACCAGTGGTCTTCTCTGTTTAGGATCTCCATTTCTTATCAAGTATTATTCTTCCTTGCATCCTTTGTCTCCCATAATTCAGCAATACTCCACTCAGTAATAATCACTGTCATTTCTTTTGCTGCATTCAGAGACCTGCTGATTTTTTTTTTTTGTAAAACATTTCCTTCACACGGTACAATCTTAATTCAGCCTCCTTTCTCACTGACTTCCTTCGTTGCTTTCCCTGGTTGCTTTTCTTCTACTTTGGTCATTCCTGTATGATTCTCTGGTAAAGAAAAAAAAAGGTGAGATACAAGAGGATGAAATATCTGATCATACTGTTGAGTGCAGGACATACTCATTATAGAAAATGAATAGAGACAATTAGAGGAAGAGAAACAGAAAGGAAGAAAAAGAGAAAAGTAGAACTTAAGAGCACAGAGAAAAAGGAAGAAGAGTGGAGCAGTTTCAAAGGAGTTAAGGCCAGAAACACCCTAGAATAACTGAAGATTTTACATTGAGCTTTGTCAGAAAGCAGAGTAGATAATGGTTAACATAGACCTCTCTGTCTTGGCTTTATTATTTACACTGGCCTTAAATAAATTTTTTTAACTTGTGCCTCTATTCTTCTACAGATGATTTTCATGATATCTTCCTATATTGTTTTTGTTATAATGTATGCAAGAGCTTAGCACAGGCTAATTATATAACAAGTACATGCTATAGCTGAGCCTCTATTATTACTGATCCCTATAGTTCCTAAAGTAGGTATTCATTTGCTACAGTTATTTTAGAAGAACTCATCCTTTTACATGTCTTCATATTTCATTTCTACCTTCATAACTCATTTATTGGGTAAGCAACCATTTTTAAAAGATTTTATTTATTTTTGCATAGAAGATATGGCAGGTAGGCCAAATGTACAGGGGGAGTGAAAGGACTCACCAGAGACAGGTAGGAGCAGAACAGGCAGGTCTACTGAAATATACTGCTAAGGGAATAGTAGGCAAGGCAGGAGAGGTCTGCTGCTCCATTTGTGGGTTAGCTCCTTGGCTGGGGATCATCTTCAGACTGTAGCTGTGATAGCGTGATAGTATGACAGTGTTGAGATTTAGCCCCTGTGCCACCAGGGAAACCATAAGCAGGTAATTATTGACTATCTGCTATGTGCCAAGTGGTACAATTAATAATGAGAATTGGTATTTTTATCTTTTAAGGAGATAAAAATTCAGGGGCTAGAAAAATGAGAACAAATTGTTGCACTAAAATGCAAAAAGTGTACTAGTGAAATGCACAAAGTTTGTAGAGGAATGAGGAACTACTTTGTAGAATCAGATTATAAAAAAAAAAAAAGTAGCAGTTAAGTTGAACGTTTAAGCATGAATAGACATTTTCCCCCCCTGACATGCATGAGGAGAATATTTCAGGTAGAGGAAATGGGGTTTAATAATAGCACACCAAGATGTTAGAGAACCAGTACAGGAAATTATAAATTATCAGTAGCTTTTCATCATTTGGTACATAAAGTGTTATCAGATAGCAGGAGTTAGTAAGATCAGATAATGTTGGGCAGGGGGCCAGATCAGGAGGGTTTTGTGTGCTATATCATAAAAACTAGAATTTATCCTCTATACATGTAAGAGCCATTTAAAACTATTGCTCAGGAGAAAATTACAAGATTTGCTTATTAGAATGACTGTATATGAGAACCATAGAAGTGATAGGGTGGTGAAATTAGGATGTTAAAACAGTAAGAATGGACACCCATGAAAATAATGCACCCAGAAGATATCAAAAACTCCTGTAACTCAGTAAGAAGGCTGTGAACCCAGTTTTCTTTTAGGGGGTAAAGGAATTGAACATATACTTTATAAAGAAAAAAAATACATGATTGGCTGTTAAGTACCTGAAATTATATTTAACATTTTTGTCATTAAGGAAATGAAAATAAACACCAACAAGTTTTGAATAGAAGAAAAAGAAATAGAAAAAAACATGAAAGGTAAAAGAAAGGGATTTTACTCTTATGCTTTATACTTAAATTTTGGAGTGTGCACCATCATCCCTAATGTATCACTTATTTTGAGTTTCTTATTTGAATTGTATACACAGTATGAAATTTTTTTTAGTATTCCATTGACACCTTCACTTCAATATGCTTTATTTTAATTTTTTAAAATTTATTTTCTTATTAAGATAACATTGGTTTAAAACACTTTATGATTCAGAGGTATAGGTTCACACCTCTTTTCATGCAGAGATATTTCTTATCCCTTTGTAAACCTTATTCCTATTTTCTACTGATTATTGTTAAAATATCACCTTTATATCAGAGTCAAAATTATGTCATTATCCAATATTATGAATATTGGATTTGCCAAAGTGAAGGCCATTGATGATCTTGGCTGTATTATTTTCAAGTATAATGGGGATAAGGATCTGATTGAAGGAGAGCTAAAAAAAAAAAATAGAAAAGGAAGGAGAGAAAGTAGAGACAGAAAGGAGAGGCAACTTTTTATTTACAGAATATATGCTTTTAACAAGAGTCATTTTGGATGGTCCATTGGAAGATGATGTGAAATTTGTAGATTTGTTTTCTTTTAAGGTAGAAGATTCCTATTTTACAGGAAGTTTTTTTAAGCTGCTGCTTCTGATCTAAGAACTAGGACACATTGACTTTGTAGAAGAGAGACGCGAGCATCTATATCCCTACTTAGGTGGTCAGTAGTGAGTTCAGTCACAGTTGAAGAGGATGGTTTTCAGTAGGAACATAGACTGTTCATTGGTAGTGACAGGAAGGAAGTCAGTACTGTGTTTATAGAGTAAGGGCAGTCAAGAGATAATTTTTGAGTTCTTACTCTGTAAAAGACACTTTTTTAAGATTGATTTATTTATACATACAAGAACTGGAGTATGGGCTAGAGGTGTAGGGGGTAAGAAGATTCACTGGAGACAGAGTGGGGAGCAGAACAGGTGGATCTGCTGAAACACACTATTGAGGGGAGCGGCAAGTGAGACAGGAAAGGTCTGCTGTGCCATGTGGGCCAGCTCCCAGACTGGGAATTGAACTTGTACTGCAGTGGCTGCCAATAGCTTGAAGGTGCTGAGACTTAAGCCCTTGCACTACCTGGGAGGCCCAAGTACAAGTCACTCTTCTTAGGAAAATATAAAAATTATATTTAAATGAAGAAGCTTAAAAATACACAATGGTTTCTTTCACCAGTGCCTGTTTTGTTTGTTTGTTTGTTTGTTTGTTTTTTGTACTCTACTGTGAGTATCTTACTGTTTATTATACTGCCTATCATGTTGTTTAATACTCAATTACATAATTACATTAGAATTTGACACTAAAAAAACTTAACTATTGGCCCTCCCTGGTGGTGCAGTGGGTTAAAGCACAGCACTAAGAAGCTAAAACCACTGCAGCATGAGTTCAGTTCCTGTCTGCCCTGGAGGTGATCACATGGTGTGGCAGACCTCTCCTGGCCCGCC